AAGGGACACTTGGGAGGCTGAATCTAAAAGACTCAGCAGCCCCACGCACAGGACAGGGAGAGCCCAGGGCCTCTTGGGCACTCCTGCTTGACCTGCCATTCACAGCCCCAGGAAATACAGCAGGAGGAGCTGGCTGGGCTGTAATGGAGAGGGGACATTTCAGAGGGACAGCAGGAAAATGCCACAGTCTCCACCTGGTACTGGAGCTAAGGAGATGCCACCAGTCAAGACTTTTTTCCTGTTAATGGAGAGATCGGGCCTGCAGGATACCACTGGGCAATGAAAACAGCCCCCGGCTGGGTGAGCAGGCGAGGGGGCAGGGGTTGCAGGACTCTGCTGGCTGCCTCCACAGAGCGTGCAGAACTGAATGGCACGGGGTTGGGAGACCCCGCAGCTGGGCGACTGCTGGTGGTTTCTCCTCTCCCAGCTTCTTCCCTCACACCCCCATTCCGTCCAGCCTGGGCCTGGTCTTGCTGCCTTGGCCCATCTGGCCCACCTTTCCTCACTGTCACTGAGACTGACGTGGCCATCGCAGGACCCCATGGCTCACAGCAGGCAGGACCAGACCCCTCCGGCGGCCTCCATCACATATCAGCTGGAGGCCCAACTGCCAGCACCTGCGCCAGAGCAGAGGCGGCGATTCCTCATGCCCGCCTTCCCCCTGAGACGCGGGACAGGTCCTGGGGTCCTGCTGAGGTCTGCCCCTGGCACTGAAGACGTGGTCAGCCTGCAGACTGCTGTGTGCCCTGCCATCTAGGGCGCTGGGAGAGTGTTTGTGGTTGGTTTTCTACTAGATTGATGCAGGTTTAATTAAGTGCCTGAACTGTTTATAAAAACAAATTAGCTGCCTAGCGACGTGTCACGCAGCGCAGGGAACCCCGCGCAGGAGCAGGGCCACCATGTCAGTGTCATTATGCAGAGGAAACGGCCACCTTGTTTGTCAATGACCGTTTTAAATGGAAAGTCTACCCAGTAGTTGGGACAGCTCCCCAACCCTCTCTGCCAATAGAACGAAGACCACACAAAGCAGAGGCCCACAGAGAAAACCGGACACACCCCGGAACAGAAGCTTCGTCCTCTCCCGTCTTGTCTTCCGTGCTCCATACGAACAGGAACACACCCCACTCTCCTCCTTCCTCTTCTCGTTTTTTCCCTTCCACTCCCAGGATAACCAATCTGGGCCCTTGTGCAAAGCCCAAACAGGGTTTCGATTTCATTTTCCCAGTGTCATCCAAAGTCATGCAACAGAGCCTCAGGCAGGGGACAGGAGACCGAGAGAAGCAAGGTAGTGACATCCAGACAGGGAGAAGGAAAGAGTCTACTGTGGGGATGCCAAGAGCATTCAAGTCCAAGTGGTTCACCGTCATCCACGTGTTTTAATGTGTCTTGCTTTACCTCCTTTCCAAATTTTTGTGCAGTTTAAAAGAAATCAGGCTATGTGCAAGTAAGCTACTTACTGCCAAGGAGAGAAGAAGCAGCCAAGTCATCCCATCTTGCTTTCTGCATGCTGCCAGTGCTTACGGCAGAAGCAGCCTTGCTGCATGGGGTCTTCCAACATGTTGTATCCAGGGCTGTGGCGGGGGGGGGGGGTGGGACAGAAAAGGCAGCAAGTAATCCCAGCCACACTGCAGACCCTCACACACGTCACCACCCACACATCAGGACGGGAATCATCACTCCTGCTTTATCCAGGAGCCAAGTGCTCGAGGACAGAGAGCAGGACAGAAGCTGGCTGTCTCCTTACCCCTCACAGGACCCTGAGCAGCCCTCACCCAGAGGGGCCGAGATGGTCATTAAATATTCCACAGTTCACAGCCATGAAAATCACACCACAACTGAAAAAGCACACAAAATCTAAACTAAATATAAAATTGAAGCTCTTGTTACATTTTTCACAGTTCATGAAGGTCTTTTTAATTATCTCAAGCTGAACAAAAGAATTATTTCTCAGTCACTTTATGCAGAAATAAGAGTCAATCCTGCCCACAGAACCCATCAGTCAATTCAGGCCAGGATGGGCCAGCCCCTGGGTATGTCTGTAATCGCCAGGTACAGAGAGGACCTTCCCGAGCCCGACACACAAAGCCCCCAGGACTGCCACAGTCAGAGACCAGCCAAGCATCCTGGCAAACACGAAGGACAGGCATCTTGCACAGGAAGGCCATCTGGGCTGGCCCCAGCTCAGTGGTGGGGTGCTTGCCTAGCCTGCGCCTAGCCCTGGGTTCCATCTGAAGCAGCATTTCAAGAGCCCAGCGGTGACCAGAGCGTCCCTTTCACTCCACCCTGGGATGGCCAGATTTCTCTCCCCCATCTTCTCGGGTGAAAGGCAATGGGAAGGAACCTGGTATCCTCTCTGCTTGTCACATGCACAGTTCTGTGAAGAGAAGGCTGGGACCCTGGGGCTGATATTAGTTCCAGGTCACCACTCGGGCCCTGAGCAGGGAGTGGGGCAGGCTGCCCAAGGAGGCAAGGGACGTTGGGCTGGATAACAAGCATGCCATGAGGGGGAGCAGCCGCAGAAGGAGAGGTCTCCTCAAGGCGGAGCTCAGAGGATCTGGATCCCCTCTGCTGGCCCCTGAGGTGGTCACTTCTGTCAACACATCAAATGTTCATTACAGCAGACTTTCTTTGTAGTGCATGGTGGCCGAGACTGAGGACAGAGGAGCTAAAGCAGGGCTGGCCAGTTCCTTTCCTAGAAGGGAATTCTGAATAGGCAGGGACAGGCCTGGGTGCCGCCTGGACCACAGGGACAGCAGAGCCGACCCCCAGTCTTGCTCTTCCCCCTCACATCATTGGCTCATTTTGGAAGTGAAGCGGTGGATTTGGTCTCTGATGGGCATGGAACATGGGCAGGCGAGGGACACTGGGGCAGAACCAGTGAGGAACAGCTAGGACAGTGGCCACATGGACACTCGCTGCCAAGCTCTCCTTTTCTCCCTCCCAGCCATGCCTTGGGGCTGAACGAGGCACCTCCGGTCTGGGCTTTGGTCCCTTTTGTGGGAAGCTGGGCTGTCACACCTGCCCCTCAGCTGGCCACAGGCCCTGGGCACATACGAGGGTGACGGAACTGATGGAGCCTCAAAGAAAGAGCCTAAGCAGACACTACCAGCCTTGCTCACCCAGGCCTCCCAGCCTCCAGCCTCCAGCCTCCAGCCTCCCAGCTTCCCAGCCTCCCAGCCTGAGGCGGTAATAGAAAGGCCTGTGAACTTTCCTCCCTGAGGAAGAGACAGAGGTGGAGCCCTGGGAGGGTCCCCACGGGGCCTGGCAGGGGTCTTCCAGTATTTGGCAAGGATGTGGAACTTTCTAGTCTGCTAATCGTGCCTTCGCATGGAACACAAAGTCATCTTTATGAATGAAACTAGAGAAAGAAAGAGAAGAGCAACAGAGACCCAGGGACACGGGTCACCCTCCAGCTCCTCCTGGAAGACCCCAAGACGCCGGCAGCCCTTCCCAGCACAAAGCAGGGCAGGCTGGCTGCTCTCATGGCTGCCGTGGAGGAGAGGCTGGTCCACACTGGGTAGACAACTCCCAGCAGTTCCTGCTGGTCATTAGTCACTGGGCAAGGCCAGGAGGAGGGACGTCCCACTCGCAATGCATTTCAACAGACCTCACTGCAAAGCACACCCCTCCCCAATGGGTGCAAACCTCCCCGATGACCCAGCGATCCCTCTGTGAGAACACCTAGTCACCTGCAGTGGGTCAGGCCAGGTGCTGGGCCAGACAAGAGCCAGTGCCGAAATTCAGTGCAGATGTCGGGGAGGCTGGTGGCCACCTGCTCACCTCTGGGGGGCCTTCAGGCCCCAGGGGTCTCTCTCCTCTCCGCTTCCTCCCCACCCTCCCAACTCCAGCAGAAGAAAGCTCCCCCTCCCGGGCCCCGCTGCCTCTCTGTATTTGAGGGACATGTTGTCCACAGCACTCCCATAACTGTGTGCCCTGCTACACGCCCTCCCGGACGTTCTCCCCGGGATGAGAACCTGGGGGACACTGGTGTGTCTCTAAACGTGTTTGCTTCCTATGTCACACACTACCAAGTGTGGCTCACAGGCCAGCAGCAGGAGCTTCACTGGGGAGCTTATTAGAAAGGGGGTGTCCAGCCATGCCCAGACTTACTTATCCAGGATCTGCCTGCTAACAAGCTGCCCAGCCAGGCCACTCCTACATGCACTAACACCTGAGAGGCAGCGTCCTTGCAGTGGATGTGCCAGGCAGGCCTCACATGAGCCAGCTCTGACACGGGACAGCCCCTCGTGCCCCTTCTCTTTCCCTGGTAACCTGAGCTAGCCACCTGGGCACACAGGAGAAGCTCATCTCACTCCTCACACACCCTGTGCCAGGAATCCCAAGACTCACCAGGACAGTTAAGATTCTTCCCAGGCTGACCACAACGCCAAGCCACCCCGCCTGTGCCCAGTTACCCCGCCTGTCTCTGTCCCAACTCCCTCCTTGGTGCCTCATTCTGATTGGTTTTTTGGGCCTGGTCGACCACTGTCTTCTAGTCTCATGTTGCAAATTTCCTTCCTCTCCGGGGTATTTTAGGCCATGCAGGTGGAAATGCGAGGCTTTGGACCCCTTCAGCACAGCCTCACATCTCCAATTGACCCCACTCTGCCTCTGGCCCTGGTGGGGACACAGTCAGAGAACCCCAGACGGCCTCCACTGCTGGCATCACACCTGCAAATGTGTGTCCAGCTTTCTCCTGTCACCTCCTGCGTTACCACCACCCGCGAACACCCTGATGCACGGTGAGGCATAGGTGTGCCACACGCTGGGGAGACGGTGGGTCTGGGGATTCTGTGTTCAGGTTCTCCACCAGCTCTGGACAATCATAACACTACACCTGGGCCCGAGGTGTGCAAAATCCAGAAGACAACCATGTGCAACGGCCAACTGTTCCTTAGTGGAGACAACCAAAGATGTGGTCTGACTCAGTGCGGGTGCAGAAGACAGGACTGATGGGGAGGAGGAAAGAGTCAATCACCCATGAACAAATGAAAACTCACCTTTGTCAAAATCATCATCCTCAATTGCTGCTTCTTGAAGTTTCTGAAGCTTTACTCTTAAGGAGGTCACCTGTGTTGGTTTGGAGGGGGAAAAGGAAAGACAAGTCACAACAGCAAGCTTATTTTATGAAAGCTAAGAACATAAACTATCTCAAAGTGAACCTCCTGTCAGGTGCAGTGGTGCACACCTGCAATCCCAGCAACTCCAGAGGCTGAGGCAGGAGGACCACAGATTCTAGGCCAGCCTCAGCAACTTAGTGAGAACCTATCTAAAAATAAAAAATAAAAAGGCTGGGATGTAGCTCAGTGGTAGAACACCCTATGTAACATCCCCAGACCCCCAGAGATCTGGTGGCTCAGAGAAGTGGCACGAAGACCCTGGGCACAGCTGGACACCAGAGAACCACACTGCTTAGGACCTCCTAAGTCCCAGGTATCCAGAGCCCCAGGTCCTCAGGATATGACCTACAGCCAGATAAAGAGTCAAAAGGAAGGAGAAGCTGCCTGTCGATCTCCGGGGCGAAGCTGGCAAACTGCAGCGGAACCCTGACCAGGGCAGGTCTCCCTAGGTGCGTGTCTAAGGGAATGAAGCTGGCCGTGCTGGCCGCGCAACCTGCAAACAACAGCTGCCTCCCTCGGGCCACACCTGGAACTGAGAAATGCAGGTGGGATGCTAGGTTTGCACAAAGTCTCTGGCAGAGCTGGGCCAACCTCTCCCCAGCACCCTGTGCTCTGTGTCTGCTTTCAGATTCTCTTCCCCTGCCTGGGACATCAGCTCAAGAAATGTGTCAATTAGGTACCTGTGGCCCATCTAAACGAGATTAATTAATTTGCTTTTAAAGGTCAATCAAAGGCTGGGGCTGTGCTCAGTGGCAGAGTGCTTGCCTAGCATGCGAGAGGCACTCACTCCCTCACACACCTCCGCACACCCAGGCTCAGAGACTTGCACACCCACTTCCTCACACACCTCCGCAAGCCCAGGTTCAGAGACTTGCACACCCACTCCCTCACACACCTCCTCATGCCCAGGCTCAGGCACTCTGCACACCCACTCCCTCACACACCTCTGCACACCCAGGCTCAGGGAATTGCACACCCACCCTTGCATACACAACACAATGAAACCTCATGCAGCCTGGAAGTCCAGTCTGGGGTGGCCCTTGTGGCTCCCTGGTGTAGAGCCGCCTCCCCATCCTGCTGCTCCCCCTCTCCGATGACAGACAGCACCTCAGTGCCAGGGCTCCCACCTCCCAGCTCGTCCTAACTCCAAAGCACCTGTCTTCTCACTTGAGCCTCAGAATGTCCTGAAAGTGTCCCCTCTGAATAAGGAAACTGAAAGCCAGAGACATGGAGTGGTCAGAAAGAAACCAAGTGTCCCAATTTGGTGGCAAGGACAGGAGTTGCTCCTTTTGTAGCAGATGAAATGGGATGAGTGGGGCAAGAGCAGGTGACCATCGATTGGGCTGGCCCATGCAGGGTGCGGTGCCCATTTCTATATCGTGCACCCCAAACCTCAGCTGGTTCAATCTCCCCTGCCCCAGTTTCCTGTTCCTAAGCTGAGAAAACCACATGGGGCCCCAGGAGGGCTGTGGAGGAGCTGCAGCCAGAGAGCAAATCTGCACACTTGGGCCACAGAGAAGGAGAGGCAGAGCACGCATTCAAGGGGGGAGACACAGTGTGGCACTGCTGCTCCCAGGGAAGCCGTTCCAAGCAGCATGCCCGGCTCCCGGCCCTCTGCCTGCTGACCTGAGCTCCTGACCCTCACAGCAAGGGCCGGCAGAGACACTGACCTCCAGATGCCTTTGGGTGCTCAGCAGGCTGTCCCGCAGCACGGGCTCCCATCTCTTGAGCAGGGTATCCCAGCCGTGGACGTCCCCTGAGCCACTGCCCTCATCACAGCCACAGCCAGCCAGCGAGGGATCCAGGGAAGAGGAGCAGCCAGTGTCCATGTTTAGGGAAGAAAGCAGACCACACTCCGGCCCGGAGCTCTTCTCCAACACCTGGGCCAGGTCTGCCAAGCCCTGGGCAGCCGTGAGACGGAAGGGCTGAGGGAGACCAGGAGGGTCCTCGTGGGACCTGTCTGGGCTGGTGGCTCTGACTCCCATTTCCTGGGGGCTCTGATGAGTGGTCTCCGCCTCCCTAGAAGGCGGACAGCCTTCTGCTTCCCCACGTTCCCCGGCAGAGCCAAGAGAGAGGCGGATGAAGCTGAAGCTGGAGGTAAAGCTCTCACAGGAGCCAGGCAGGGTGTGGGGGGCTGCAGGGCCGCTGCCCAGACTGCGGCTGCTACCACACCCCTCCAAAGGCGCCTGCCCCCTGGAGGCCCCAGCGCCCCTTGCTCCTGCACACAGGGTTGGGTCCTGGCTGGTGCCTGGGGCAGCAGAACTGTCCATGGATAAAGACTCTTGCTGCCCCCAGGCATCGTCGGGGCCACGCAGCCCGGCAAGCCTGGCAGGCAATCCGGTGCCAGCTCTGGGCTGAATCCAAAAGCCCATTGGGCTTCCTCCTGCAGAGGTCTGGGCCAGGCTCCGGTGGCCCACAGAGGCCACAGCAGGGGTTTTGGAGCTGTTAGGGACACAGCTCCCCAGCAGGGGTTCCCGGTCATGGCTACTCAGGCCAAGGTTGCTTTGTCCAGCCCTGGATGCGGAGTGGTGGAGCTCCTTGCTGCCCACCCCTCTCAGATCCTGGAATGGCGTGTCCACTGCTGGGAACCTGATTCCGGGCCCAGCTGTGCTTCTCATGTAGCCTGGCCTCCGTGCCAGCCGCCGCCTCCGAAGCGAAGCTGCAGGTGGTGAGCAATCCCAGCTGCCTGGAAAGGAAAAGAACAGCACATGGCCCTGGCTCCCCTGGAACAGCATTTGGAGAGTGTGCCCAGGGCTAGAGGTCACTGATGGGTGCACCTGCCAAAGACACGGGTCGGCCCAGAGAACCAGGGACAAGCCAGTATGAAGATGCTGACGATCCTCAGGAAGCATCTGCCTTGAATGCACAGAGCTCGGCCTGCCTCCCAGGCCCTCTGGCACGGAGCAGCTGGCCCCCCAGCAAGCTAGGCCAGCACACCAGCGTGCACACAGCTCGAGCCCCCAGCACTCCCGGGTCTCCCCTGGAAGGTCAGCACCTATTTATCCTGGGCACGGAGAGCAACGGATCTGAAGATGGACAATAGCACAGAGGGAGATCCAGCTGTCTGCTCCAGCCACACGATGAACAATGCCCTTCGTCTCTGAGCTGTCTGTGTCCCCCAGGCCCCATCCACTGCCTTGGGCCATGAATGTCCACCATTTCATCCACACAGGGGCTGCAGGAGACCTTCCTGTGTTCTCCAAGCCAGGCCCGAGTTCCACGCCCAGTTCTGCTGATGCTGCACCTCACTGCACACTTGCTGGATGGGTGACCTTATTTACCCTCTGTGTGCCTTGAGTCCCTTCCAGTAAAGCTGAGTGGGCATGGAAGCACCACCCACAGGGCTGCTGTGAGCACCCGATCACAGGGCCATGCTATGCAGAGCACCTGTCCAGCGCTGGGCAAGCATGAGCCTGCCAGGCAGTCACCATCCTCATGTGGTGCTGCTGCTCGTGACAAGTGTCCTCCATGGGAACTTCATCGCTCCCTACCTTGTGGATCAACCAAGCCAGGAATCACAACCCTCCCTCCCTCACAAAGGCCAGGAGACTTGGAGAAGCTCACCTGGATGTGGCCAGTTGAGAAGACCAAAGCCTCTCGCTCTAGCAGACCTCAGGTGTTCTCAGAGGCCAGCCAGATACTTGCTCCTCCTCCCAAAACATACATGTCCAGCCCTTCGTGCTGTTGAGTGGGGGTCATCAGGCGCTGATCCCACTGAGCTACCATCACAACACATTCAATCCCAGGTGACAAGGGGCACTGATAATGCTGGGGACGTGAGCACAATGGCCCGTGGCTGCCTGTCCCCTGACTATGCACTAGGGACAACAGAGGTCAAGACATGCTCTTGCCAACTGCAGGACCCAGGGAGAGTTATTGCCACCCAATGGACACAGATTCTGGACGCTTACAGCAAAGGGCAGACCAGACCCAGGGACAGCGCAGGGTGGTGGAGGAAGCGGTATCGGCAGGGAGGGGTGTGGGACTCTGCAGCACCCGAGAGCTCACCCTTGGCTTTGCCTGACTCCCCTAGCAGACCTGCCCAAGCCTGGCCAGACAGGGCCCGTGTGATTCGAATCACATCCTTCCCTCCCTCAGCCTCCAGCTGAACCAGCTGGGTCGAGGCTTGAAGGTTAGGAAGGCAGCGGGATTTCAGTCCATTTTCCCGCAACCGAGGCCACACCAAATTGGAACCACAGGGAAAGGAAGACTGCCAGAGGGACCATGAACAGGCCAGGTGGGCACCCTCGCTCTGCTGGAAGGGACAGGGTCCACCTTTTCCTCCAGGGGGTCTTCCTGCCAGGGTGACCCTGGCAACATCAGAGCCCAACCAGCCAGGAGTGCCAGGAGGGGCTGGGGGAGGAGGAGGGAGTGAGGGAGAGGCTCAGAGGTGCCACACTGCCACCAGGTCAGGCTCGGGTCAGACTGGCAAGACAGCCTCTAAGGAGCAAGGACTCCAGAACAGAGAGAACCCTGAATTCTGGCTTCAGCCTCCAGAGAGAACAACTCACAACTGATACCTTGGAAAATGTGTCCAGTGAAGCTAACATTGTCTTTTAGCTGTTTTTTTTAACCCAGTGGCTCTCACCTGAGTGACACTCCTGAAGGTAGAAGATATTGCCAAGGGGGATTGTCTGCTCAAGATCTCACTCCTTTTCTCACCTGGCACAGCCTTTTCTGAGACCACCCACCAAGGGTTCTGAAGCAGAGCTGGGGTCCAGCTCCTATATGATGAGCTCCCGGGTGGGAGCAGTGTTCCCACCAGGGTTCGGGAAGGTGCAGTGAGGCACAGGTGCCCACCACTGAGCTGTTACCATGTGGGGACCTGGCTCCCTCCCCTTCCTGCCGCTCACTAATCCCAACCCTGACACAGGCCTTCAGCAGCAGCTGAAAAGTGGAGGCTGTCCCAGGGTACTCTCCCTACCCCTTGGAGCACTGGAGAGGGCAGGGGCTGGACAGAGGGGCTGGAGCTGTCCAGAGAACCCTGCTGGGATGGGCTACACAGGGCAGATTGAGGTCTCTAGAAGACGCCTGGGTTTTCCTGCAAAGCCCCTTCACCTACCCTTTTTCCTTTCTTCTTCTTACCCTTGAGGAGCTTATGCTGTCTGCTGCAACCAGAACCCAGTAGTCCCCCGATCATCCTCCCTCAACCTCAGCTCTGTGGTCTGTTCAAAATCCAAGCCCTTCAGCTGAGGGTGGGGTGAGGCTCTCTATCCCTGGAGGCAGAGCCTCCTTCCCACCCAACTGAGGTGCAGTCAGATGCAGCAGGACCTTGGTGGGCAGGAAGGACAACAGAGCCAGGAGGGCAGAGCCCAAAGAACAGGAAGTGCAGGTAGGCTCTGAGGGCCATTGGGGAACAGCTGTGCTGCCCTTCCACGTGAACCCAGAGGTGGCTTCCTTCTGCCTTCTGGTCAGGCTGGGCAGGGAGAGGGAGCCCGGCGCACCGTAACAGACTCTAGGCACAGAGCACAGGCGCCTCGCCTCCTCCAGGATACAGACTTGCTGGGACCCATTAGGTGGCCCCGTCTCCACCCACCCAGGCCAGTGGGCCACAAGCTAAAGCAAGTGCCAGACAGGAGCTCAGGACAGACCCGGGTGTCAAGGGGGCTCTAGCTATAGCCCAACAGGGTGTCTGGAAAATCTGCTTAGGGAAACTGGGAGATGCCAGGATCCACCAGCCTGGTGGGCAAGAGTCCTCTCTGCCTCGCCCCTTCCACTATCCCTCCGCCTGCCCAAATCCTTCCTCTGTCTCCCGCATCAGCTACCTTTCCCCAACCAGCCAGTTCTCGTCACCCCTGTGCCCTATTGTTAACCCCTAGCACCCTAAGTGTTTGGTGTCTATCAGGGAGGAGGCTCCGAGGTCCACAGCAGGGCGAGGTCACTGTTGGGGAGCACAGCCAGCTCCAAGGACTTCAGAGAGACCCTCCTCGGGCAGAGGGACCAGCTGTGGAGGATGAGCAGACACCAGGCTGGGGACAGGATAAGAGCAGTCTGCAGATGGGGCTGGGGCCTGGGTGAAGCAGGGCCTGCCTGGAGAGAGCGGGGAACTCCTGGAGACCCAAGGAAGCCACCTGAGAAAGAGAGAGCCTTGGGGAAGAGAGAATGGGAAAGAAGAGGATGGAAATCACCCAGGAAATCGCTGTGTGGCTCCAGGACAGTCAGGGGACATCAGGCACAGTACGCGCATCCCTGGCTGCCCAGCTCCGCTCTGTGGAGCTAGTGGGCTGTCGCCGCCCATTGGCTTACTCTAGCTCTTCAGATGGGAGGGGTCCCAATGTGGCTGTGCACTGGAACCACCAGGATATCTTTAAAGATCCTGGAGTCCAGGCCTGAGGCTGCTGAAATCACAGTTAGGGCCCAGGGCTCAGGGTCTGGATTTGGGGCGATGCCGTGGGTGATTCTGGGAGGCAGCCAGAGCCGGCAGCCTCACTTTACGGGAAAGCCCTATTCAGCCTCCTCTGCACACGAAGCTCAGACCCATCCTAAATGTGACCTCACAGCATCACAGAGGCTGTGTCTTTGCAAAAGCCTTCTCTCCCATGCTTTTTGTGTTGTAAGATACAAATTAGCTTCTACTACAGGTGCATAAAGTGTGGTCTGTATGTGTTAAAGTCTGTCCCCATACAGCTCTTCAAATACTCTGCCCAAAGAGGGCTTCCACTTCCCGTCAGACCACAGGCCCACCAGAGACGTCACTGCCACGGTCTCCTCTCTGATCCAAGGAAGGAGAGCAAGGCCCCCAGCCCTGCACACATAGTCCGGTTGGTGCTCACAGGGCAGAAGTCCTGCGTGTGACACGCAGCCTGAGGGCCTGGAACAGGAGAAGGCTGCTGGTGGGAAACAGTGAGGTCCACAGGCACCTGCAGTTGAGTGTCTTGTACCAGAGGGACTTTATGAGTTTTGATAAGTGGCTGTGATGAAGCCCTTGGCATTGGAAGAAGCTGGTGGAGGGAGCCCTGCGCCCACTTTGCAGCTTCTCTGTGCACCTGCAATCATTCTAAAACAAAAAGCTACTGCAAACCCATGCCACACGGGACATGTGAGCCTGTCCTTTGCTGTAGCAAGGAGTGCAGCTCCAGAGAGATGGCCCAGCTCGAAATCCAGCGCTGCTGCCTCTGAGAACGCAGCCAAGTGCCTCACTCCCCTGCTCCCACCCTCATCTGGACGATGAGACTCCACCTCACAGAACTGCTGGGTCGTGGCCTTGATGTTCTACACTACTGGACACAGGGCAGCTGAAAAAAAACCAAGTAGATCCCCTTTGGCACATGGACAGTTTGAGCAGAAGGTCCTTGGAAACAGCACTTGCAAAGGGCATGGTCTCTGAACTCCTGGGTCTGCCCACAGATGCAGGCTCCAGGAGGTCTCCCCTTCCTGGGTGACTTCTGGGGTGCTGCACCAACCAGGAAGATCAACCAGAAACGGACACCATGCTGAGACGAACCTTCACAGACTGTCCAGCTCCCATTTGCTCTTTCATGGCTCCTGAAAGTCACCGACTCTCTCCCAAGAGGCTGAGGCCACCTCCCTTCCGCTATGAGGCAATGCCCCTTTGGGAGATTCACTTACTTTCCTTGCAAGGCCCCCATTCCACAGCATAAGGACCAACCGACCAGTGTGCCTCCCCTGCCAGCCTGCCTGTGGGCAGTCGCACACCCAGCTTGGCTCCTGGAGCAGCAGAGGAAG